CCTTCTAATTAAAGTGTGATTATATATACACTACTACTTTTTAATCACACTTTTTAAACAAATGTGATTATATATATATATTTTTTAATCACACATTCTAATTAAAGTGTGATTATTTATATATTTTTTAATCACACATTCTAATTAAAGTGTGATTATTTATATATTTTTTAATCACACATTCTAATTAAAGTGTGATTATTTATATATTTTTTAATCACACATTCTAATTAAAGTGTGATTATTTATATATTTTTTAATCACACATTCTAATTAAAGTGTGATTATTTATATATTTTTTAATCACACATTCTAATTAAAGTGTGATTATTTATATATTTTTTAATCACACATTCTAATTAAAGTGTGATTATTTATATATTTTTTAATCACACATTCTAATTAAAGTGTGATTATTTATATATTTTTTAATCACACATTCTAATTAAAGTGTGATTATTTATATATTTTTTAATCACACATTCTAATTAAAGTGTGATTATTTATATATTTTTTAATCACACATTCTAATTAAAGTGTGATTATTTATATATTTTTTAATCACACATTCTAATTAAAGTGTGATTATTTATATATTTTTTAATCACACATTCTAATTAAAGTGTGATTATTTATATATTTTTTAATCACACATTCTAATTAAAGTGTGATTATTTATATATTTTTTAATCACACATTCTAATTAAAGTGTGATTATTTATATATTTTTTAATCACACATTCTAATTAAAGTGTGATTATTTATATATTTTTTAATCACACATTCTAATTAAAGTGTGATTATTTATATATTTTTTAATCACACATTCTAATTAAAGTGTGATTATTTATATATTTTTTAATCACACATTCTAATTAAAGTGTGATTATTTATATATTTTTTAATCACACATTCTAATTAAAGTGTGATTATTTATATATTTTTTAATCACACATTCTAATTAAAGTGTGATTATTTATATATTTTTTAATCACACATTCTAATATGAGTGTGATTATTTATATATTTTTTAATCACACATTCTAATTAAAGTGTGATTATATCACTACTACAATTTTTTTATTTTATTTTAAATATTTCAAATTTGGACCGTCCTTTTTTTTGGGTGAATAATCTGGACCGTTCGACCTTTCATCTTCTTCTACACCCAAACAAACAAAAACCCTAATGAATCTAATCTCTCAAACTCAAAACACAGCGCAGCTCTCACTCTCTCTCATCTCATCAGTCTCTCTCTTGTTTTTCATCTGGACCGATCAACCTCGCAAGAGATCGACTTTCTCTCATCGCAAGATCAACCGATCGATCTCACTATCTTATCGCCCTAATCGACCTCGTAAGATCGAATCTTTCTCCAATAACTCTTAGGTATGCGTCTCTCTCTCTCTTTCTCTCTCTCCCCGATCTCTAATTTTTTTGTGGGCATTCAGATCTGTGTCTCTCTGACTCTGTTTTTTTTATTTTTTTATTTTGTTTTTTTTGTTCATCAAATGAATCAATGGCTATTGTGTAAATTCTTGATCTAGGAAGAAAGAGAGATTCTGAAGTGTTGTTAGGTCTGTAAAAACATGAATCTTGAGATTGTGATTGTGATTTTCATACACTGTAAAAACATGAATCCTCTGATACTGGTTCTGGCTATAGCTGCTGGAAGCAGACATCTATAATTCCAAATCTTGAATTTGAATGCTTTGATACTGATATTCATGAAGATTTGTATAAGCTTATTAAAATAAGAAGAATATTTCTTATTAACTGTTTCTTGAAGCCTGAACTCCAGTGTATTTGCTTCTTTTCTTGTGGTTTCTGGATAACCAAATAGACCATGGATAAGTTTGGGAGATGTTATTTGATTGGTCAGTAAAAGGGTGCTGAAGAAGTAATGTCGTTTTTATTAGTTTCCTGAAAATGATGGCGCATGCTTGTTATTCAAAACAAACTATAAATAAATATATAAATAAATGAGAAAAAAAAAATTGGCCTTTATTTTCTTTTGTTTATTATCTTTAGATTTTGCTTTTGCCTACAATTTGAGTCCAATTTGTTTCTAAATGTGTTTACTTTTTCCTTATCTATTATATGGTGGAAAGCCTGAGGGAATTTGATTTGTTCCCTTGCTTTGTTTGATTTCAGAAAACAGATTGGGAAAAGAAATTGAAAATTCGAATTTAAGATTTCCTCATTATTGAAGACCTTAGAAAACCTCAATCCTCTCTCAAATAACTCTAATGGTAATCTTTTATATGGCTAAGTATTTTAACAGGACATAACTAAATAGCAGTGTTGTCAAAGGCGCGCCTAGGCGCACGCCTAGGCGCAAGGCGAGTCGAGGTTCAGCATTTGCGCCTGTACAGGTACCAGGAGAGGCGAATTGAACCAGTCGCTCACCTTAGGCGCGACTTGATCAAGGCGAGAGAGGCGCAAGGCGATCGCCTAGGCGCGACTCAGTGTTCAAGTCGTAGATCAGATCTAACGACTCAGATAACCTTTCGAATGGCTCGTAATCATAGAGGATTACAACCCATGTACCATATGAGACAAATAGGACTCAGATAACCCTAATCGATCGATTACGAACCTGTGTTCAAAGAAAGAAGTCGTCTCTTCCTCTTCCTCTGCGACTCGACTTCGATCGACTTCTCGCAGGTTCGACTTCGCAGGTTTTTGATCGACTTCGCAGGCTCGAGTTCGACTTCGAACGACTTCGATCGGCTTCGCAGGTTCGACTTTCTCCCCTTCTCCTTCTTCTTCGTCTTCGATGCTCTTTTTTTTCTTTTTCTTTTTTTCCTTCGTCTAACGAAGCTGATCTGTTTTTATTTTTTTTATTTTTTATTTTTTTTCTTTTCTTTTCTTTTCTTTTGATTATGATAAATAAATAAATAAATTCATAAATAACTTAATTAATTGATTATGATAAATTAATTAATTCATAAATAAATAAATAAATAAATAAATTGATTATGATAAATAAATAAATAAATTTTTTTTTCAATTATTTGACTTTCATAACCCTGATTATTACATAAACAAATAAATAAATAAATAAATTCATACATACATACATACATAAATAAATAAAAAAATAGATATATTACATTTATTATGATTATACTGAAATTGATTCATCATTATACTGAAATTAATTAATTCACCATTAATTAAAAAAATAGAAAATTGATTCATAACATTAATTAATTCATACATTACATACATTAAATTACATACATTAATTAATTCATACATTAATAGAAAATTGAATGTAACATAGGAATAAATGTAATGGAATGTACATTAATAAATTAATTCATCATTAATTAAAAAAATAGAAAATTGATTCATACATTACATTCATTAATTAATTCATCACATAACATGCATTACATTCATTATACTGAAATTATTTTTTTGTTATTTATTTTTTGTGTTGTGTAGTAAGTACTAAGTAGAAAATGACATCGGGAAGTAATAGAAAAGATCCGGCGTGGCAATATGCCCATTTGGTGGAGGAGAATAATTTAAACAAGTTTGAATGCAATTTTTGTGGTAAAGTATCAAATGGAGGTGTTTATCGGGTGAAACAACACCTTGCGGGAGGTTATAGGAATGTCACTGCTTGCCCGAAGTGTCCTTCTCATGTAAGAGAAGAGATTAGAGAGTTCATGTCCAAAAAAAAGACTCAAAAAGAAGAAATAAACATGTTGCCTGATTTCAATGACATGGACATGGAAGATGAAGATGAAGATGATGATGTCATTGAGATCAATGTCAATCAACACCGCAAGTTGACAAGTAGTAGCCAAGGTTCATCCAAATCCAAATCCAAATCAAAAACGCCAAAGAGAAAAGGGCCTATGGATGTTTACTTCACACCCAATCCTGAATCAGTGGTGAAAAATCGAAAAGACCAAGCAAAAGGGAAACAAACCAAAATTGATGCAAATGACCCTTATAAAAAAGAAATGAGAGCTCGGGCACTACAAAGATTTGCAAGGTGGATGTATGATGCCGGCATCCCTTTTAATGCAGTAAATTATGAGAGTTTTGGACCAATGATTGAAGCCATTGGCCAATATGGTCCTGGTATGAAGCCACCGACATACCATGAAGTGCGGGTTACCCAACTCAAAAAAGAAGTGAAACATACTGAAGATTTGATGAAGTATCATAAAGAGGATTGTGCAAAATACGGGCGTTCCATAATGGCAGATGGTTGGACTGATAAGAGAGGAAGGACATTGATTAACTTTTTAGTTAATTGTCCAAGAGGAACCATGTTTGTTGAGTCGGTTGATGCTTCTAGCTATTCAAAGGATGGGCAAAAGCTATTTGAATTACTAGACAAGTTTGTGGAGAAAGTTGGAAAAGAGAATGTGGTGCAAGTTATCACTGATAGTGCTGCAGCTAATGTGTTGGCGGGTAAGAATATTTCCTCATTCCTTACATCAAAATTGTTTACTCATAGTTTGTTTTGTATTTAAAATTTAAAAACTTGAAAATAATAATTCTTCATTATTGTTACATTATAGGGAGGTTTTTGGAAGCTAAGTATGAACACTTGTATTGGACACCATGTGCTGCTCATTGTTTGGACTTGATGTTTGAAGACATTTTCAAGATACCTAGATTGAAAAAGACATTTGAAAGGGGTATTGCAGCACATGGCTACATTTACAATCGGCCTACGTTGCTAAACATGATGAGGCGCTTTACAAATTTAAAGAATTTGATCAAGCCTGCAAAAACTAGATTTGCAACCGCCTTTTTGACTTTGTCTAGGATGCATCAACAAAAAAACAATTTGAGAAAGATGGTCACCTCCGAAGACTGGACCTCAAGCAAATGGGCAAAGGAGCCACAAGGTAAAAGAATGGCACAAACTTTGTCGATGCCTTCATTTTGGAATACTGTTGTGTTTGCCCTTAAGGTCTCGGGTCCTCTTGTCAAAGTGCTTAGATTGGTTGATACCGAGAAGAAACCTCCCATGGGATACATTTATGAGGCAATGGATAGGGCTAAAGAATGCATTGCAAGTTCATTTGATCATAAAGAAGAGAAGTATAATGAAATTTTCGAAATCATTGACAAAAGATAGTAGGGGTGGGCGCGGGTCGGTTGCGGCCACGGAACCTCTAATCCGCCATCCGTCCGCCAGATTGGCGGATTGGAGAAAATCAATCCGCATCCGTCCGCCAATCCGGCGGATGTGGATTGAGCGGATTGGCAGTTTGGCGGATGGATGCGAATCGGTTTGGCGGTTTATTTAAAATTTTATAAATTTTCAACATAATTCAACTTGTGCACTTCCTCAAAAAAAAAAAGAAAAAAAAAAAGAAGAAAGTATTACAATCAATGACTTAAAAAAATATTACAATCATTGCATGCCTCATCCAAAGTAAGAAAGTTTGAAACTTTAGAATATCATAATCACCGCATACCTCATCCACATAAAGTATTACAATCTGTGGTTCTTAAAATATAAAAATAATTCAAACCACCAAAACCATAAACATAGTAGTAGTAGAGATTGTATGTCTCTGTATTGTTACATCTATATCTGTTTTTGAAAAGAAAAATCAACCAGCATATATCATATTTTCTATTTATTATTTTTAGAGATAGATTTAAAAACTAAAAAATATAGATAAATAATACATTTATTTTTCTCAATTCAAAAAAGATGTTCAAGTTGAAAACTTTTTTTCAACAGAATATTTAAACTCTTTTTTAATTGAAAACACAAACAGAATATTTAAACAAACTAAAAACACAAAGTCTTATAAATTACTAAGGGTACTTATACAGCAAATTCTTAAAAAAAATAAGGTACGGGTACGGCTGGGGTACATCAAATTTTATTTTATTTTAAATTTATAGCTAAACATCCAACATAAAAATCAAAGTTTTAATATCAAAACTAAAAATAGAACAGCTTGTCTAAAAAATTATATAATTCTTTCTTTTTCCTTTTTGATCATAAAGAAGAGAAGTATAATGAAATTTTCGAAATCATTGACAAAAGATGGGATGTTCAATTGCATCGGCCTTTACATGCAGCTGCGCATTTTCTTAACCCAGAATTCTTTTATCCAAAAGCGTTAGAGGTGCAAAGAGATCATGAAGTGATGAATGGGTTTTATGAATGCATGCAAAGGTTGGTCCCGGATGTCACTGTTCAAGATTTGATCACTAATGAGATGAGTATTTATATGAAGGCTGAGAGTCTTTTTGGCAAGCCTGTTGCGATTAGGCAAAGAAATACAAGAGCACCAGGTAATATATTATAGACTCATAGAGTTTATTTTTAGTAATACTTTTAGTAAAACTTAATACTTGGTAACAATTATTTCTAACTAGTGGATTATCGTAGCTGATTGGTGGGCATCATATCGTTCTTATACTCCAAACTTGCAAACTTTTGCCATAAAAGTCCTTAGCCTAACATGTAGTTCATCGGGTTGTGAACGAAATTGGAGTGTATTCGAACATGTGAGTATTTAACATTCTAACTAATTTTTTGTTCAATTCAAATATTTTTTATTCTCATTAATTATATAGAATTTAATATCTTTTTAATAATTGCAGGTTCATAGCAAGAAAAGAAATAGATTGGAACAACGTCTCAATGATTTAGTGTATGTCAAATACAATAGAACATTGAGATTTAGGTATGACATGCGCAACACTCTTGATCCCATATCTTTGCAAAATATTGATGAAAGCAATGAGTGGTTGCTTGGGAGGATGGATGGAGAATCAGATGAAGATAATGAGCCTGTGTTTGATGATGGCTTGACGTGGGCCACTGTTGCTAGAGCTTCTGGAGTAGAAGAAAGTATCCATGCAAGTAGAGCAACAAGTTCACGCTCAAAGGCACAACCGAGGATATCTAAATCATCAATATTGACTCCACTTCAATTAATAGATGAAGAGGAAGCGGGCTCAGATGACACAGAGGAGGAAGATGTTGAGAGATACAAATCAACTGATGGAGAAGAAGATGATAGTTTGCTTGCCATTGATGTTGAGGATGATGATTGACTGACACCGACCTAACCTACCCTTTCTTTTGATATTGATGTTTTTAAGTGTTAAGACATATATTAGTATTTGTTGGATATTTATGTTTTGGATGTTTAGTGTTTATGTTTTTATTTTATTGAATGTGGATTATTTGATCTTTAAAAATTGAAATGTTATGCACTTTCATGGCTTTGAGAATTATTCTATATTTTGTCTTGAATCTTGATTACTTTTTATTTTTTTAAAAATTGTCGTAGTACTATGAATGATTAGTCTATATTAATTTTTCTATTTTTTACGAATACTGTGCGCCTTACTTCAATAAAGCCCATGCCTCGCCTTGCGCCTTGCGCCTAGGCTCCAAGAGACCTTCGGCGCCTTAGTGCGCCTTGAGCCTTTAAAAACACTGCTAAATAGAACCTATAATGCAAAATTTCCTTGGTTTTGGTGATTCCGTCGTTTTTCTTATTTTCCTCATAAATGGCTGATATCATAGCCGCTGCAACAACTCAAACATTACTTCAGATTTCATTTTTTTCCGTTGAGAAAACTCAAGAAAAACAGGGATGGGAAGAATAATATTTCTAAAAGATAGATGTTAAATCTCACCAGTGGGAGGCAAAATATTCTTCAACAAAATGAAGATAGCCTCTTCAGGACTGAGCTTAATCCTCTTTCGCACCACATACACAAACTGACCGACAGTCAGATCAACAGGAACCAAGTATCTACTAATTATTTTATGGTTTCTTCTATAATGAATTGTCTTATGAGGGTGGGATTTCATGTTTTATGCAATATGTTTTGTTTTTCTTTTCAGTAGGGTATTTTGTAAATTTGAACATGGGTGGCGCAATTGTCTGCTAGTTTTTTTTATTCAAATACAATTATTATTTATGTAAGAATTAATGGGCTTATTTGAGGTAATTGTTTTCATATTAATGTCTGTATTGATTGAAGTTTTAATCCTTCTAGTCTCCAATTGTCTGCTAGTTTGTGATTCAGGTACAATTATTATTTGAGTGCTCTTTATTCTGAATTTTTTACGGTAGAGGGTACTGACACTGAGTACATTTTCCTGTTAAGAATATTTGGTTTTTATCCTCAATTATCAAATTTTTTAAGTCTCACTTTCTAGTCTAAGATATATGTAATTTACAGATATTGCACTTGTGAAAGAGTATTGGCTAATTGAGTGGGTCCAATTGAGTTTTAGTGTCAGAGTCAGCTCAAACACAGTAAATCTATAGTAGTTTTCTCAAGCTAAAAGGTAGCTTTTTTGAAACAAGAAGTGCAGTAGCTGATTGCAGCACTGCAGTGGGGTCTCTAAGCGAGAATTATTGAATTCTCTTTTGGATAGAAAGCTTTATTAGTAAAAAAAAGTAACAAAAAACACAACCCAAGGGACAGACTCAGAGAAGCATGTTAAAATGTTCTGAGGTTCAATCATCATATGACCCAAAAGAGGATGCTTTTGAATGGATGGGGTGGGATTTTCAATTCCAAGGATGTGGAAATGAAAATGATTTCCATAACAGACTTCATTGATGAAAGCATTGTTTGTTTATTTGAAATGGGAATCTAGTGTTCATTTGGTGGTAGACAAGAATTGTAATCTCTCCTATGTACTGTTTGGTGGGGAGGAAAAAAAATTTAAAGTCCTATGTAATGTTTGTTTATCTTGACATCTATAAAGTTGTTCTTACCTGGATTTTAATTTATTCATTTTTAGTTCTTACTAAAAAATACTCCATTTAGATTGATATATAAATCTTGGTATTATTCAGTAATTAGCCTTACTAAAAAAAAATAGTTTAATTATAATATTTCATAGTGTCATATATATAATTTCTATGTATCAACAAAAAAATTTAGGTTGCTAGGGTTACTTGAGTTATGAAAACTCATGCCCAAATTGCCAATTTAGTTCCAATTGTATTTTGTTCTTTAATTTTTTACAAATTGCCAATTTAGTCCAACTGAACAAAAATCAAGCATAAAAGGATATATTTAAAAGAGAATAGACCATTTCATAATAGATGCTATTTTTTAATATATTGGGACATAAGGCTTAGTTTGGTTTGATTTATGCTTTAAATTTACTGCTATTGACAAATGTGTGAATGACTAGATGAATATAATCTTTTTTATTGAAATAAGTTTGCATTTGTTATCATGCTTTTGCTAAGGCAGTCAACTGGTCAATAATTTTGAGAGGTTTCTTTCTTCTGTAAATCTTACTCATAATTACTACCAATTTTTCATCATGTACCTATCATATCCAATAACTATTACAATAATTTTGTACCTTCATCAAACTATAAATGGCTAATCAGTTTACTCAATCATCAAACTATTCAAAAATTCAGAACACCACTCACACCACTTGTCCTATATATAAACTATACAAGTTGTTTAGTGTGAATTATTTGTCACACTCTTTGCATTAACTGATTCAATATTTTAAAACTCAACAACCCTTATTTCATATTTTTTATTCGTAAATTACAAATAGTGTGTATATATATGTATGTATATATGTGCTATTTGTAATCAACTTTTTGGAAGTTAAGTGGAAGATAATGGACTAGCATTGCAATTTAGGGAAGATAAGAAAACTGTTGAAGCATTTCATTAACATGTTGTGTGCATGAGACTTGTTTGGACAAATTAAGGGGGGCTAGCAAAAACATGCCTTTGGACTTTGCAATTAGTTTTAGATAACACACAAAGTGATAAAAAAAATAAAAAAAATGAATAATAAATAACTAAATACACGAGTTATAAATGTTTCATAACACAATATTGATGCACATGCTCTTTCATGCACGTTTTGAGTTTTGGTTTTGCTAATGCTGTCATTCTTGGTGTGATGTTTGTTAACATAGTATGTTTCTCTCTTGTTTTCTAGTTTTTCATTTGTTGAATTGTGTTTTGTTGGTATAACAAAACAACTATCCAACACCTTTGATTATAAAAAAAAAAAAAATTTAATGAGTGGGAAGTCGTGTATTTATGTTGACAGATTTGATGATGCAGTGGCAGCGGCTCAAAGAGCAGCACGGCTAGACTTAAGTAGCAAGGAAGTGAACATGGTGGTTAGGAGGACACGGGCGGTGGCAATGGCTCGGTCCAACGGTAACGATTTGTTCAGGGGATAAAGATACTCAAATGCTTGTGTTGCATATGGAGAGGGACTCGACCATGACCCCTACAACTCGGTGTTGTTGTGCAACAGAGCCACTTGCAAGTCCAAACTTGGTCAATTTGAGAAAGCAATCAAGGACTGGACTGCTGCCCTTAATGTGCGCCCATCTTACAGGAAAGCTAGATTAAGAAGAGTCAATTGCTATGCCAAGGTAACTAACTAGCTACTAGTAGCCTATCCTATATGTCTATTTGTTGCAACATTTTTTTGAGTTTTTTTGATATTTATGAGCAGCATTTAAAAGGAATTGAATGCTCTTCGCACTACTAGAAATATGATGGTCTAGGTGCTTCATGTTTTACATGTTAACACATCCTTTTTCTATGCTTGAAAATAGGTTATGGCAAGCAAGACAAAGATCTACATTGTGCTCGAGTATGTTGGCGAGGGTGAGCTTTTTGACAAAATAGTAAGGCATTGTTTTTTGAGCTTCTACTCTCTGAGCACCTATAATTTCATTCATAATATAATCAATTGTATAATGCATTACATCTTAATTTAGGCATTTGCTCATGTCATGCTTACCATTTTGTTGTGGTAATGTGTGTTATATTGAGGCTCATTTATGTAAATCAATGTGGGTACCGAGTCTTGTATTTGTCAGATAATATTCCCTTATTGACCCTTTTATAACTAGGCCAAACTAGGAAGACTTAAAGAGGATGAATCTAGGAGATATTTTCAGCAGCTCATCAATCCTGTAGACTACTGCCACAGTAGGGGCATGTACCATAGAGACTTAAAGGTTTAACAAACTTTCTTACATATTTCATTGATTAATTAATGTATTTATTCTAATTTTTTCCAATAAAAAGAATTTATTATCTAACAGTAATTTGGTTTCTTTGGCTATTTATTCGACCATGACTCTAAAATTTGCATTACCCTGCATCTTTTGCAGCCCGAGAATCTGCTTCTAGACTCATTTGGTGTTCTCAAGGTTTCAGACTTTGGATTGAGTGCATTTTCCCAGCAAGTGCAGGTAAGTATTATGTGAGTTTGCAACAATTTCCTCATCTAAGAGCAGATTTTTAGCAGGTAGGTGTTAACAAATTGAACGTTAAATTTTTAAAAGTGGTTGCAGCACTGAGTCAATTTTGCAGTCTATTTGGTTTACTAAAATCACCTAGTCCAGAAACTACCTTTCTGGCCAGGAGCAGTGCCCTGCTCTGAAAGGAATTCCTCAGGAATAATGTGGCCATTAGTTTTTCTTCTTTCCTTCAGTGGCTTGTTCACTTCTTGTTTCTATTAATTTGGAAATGAACTTTTTTTTATGATTTGTGTCTTTCCTTTCCCTCTTTTTATATTAGTTTCCCCAAACCAAGGAGGCAGTTTAGTTTTATTAGTTGACTTCTTCATAAGATTCTGTATTATGCATCATCTAGATTTCGACACTTTGAAAACATTCAGTGACCATTTTTTAAGACTTGATCTAATCCACATTGAGGTTATATGATCTCAATCTATCATTCAGACACATAAGTTGTGGATTGCCTTAAACCTAACCCTCATCTCAATCAATATAAGTTTGGTGTTGTGGCTTTGCTTAATAAAGAAACTGACTACTTTTTTACTGTAAGAAGACGTGCTGTTTCACCTGCCCGTGGAACCCCAATTATGTTGCTCCCTGAGGTATCAATTATGAATGTCATGGAATGGATGGTCGCTTGATGCAAATTTTTTTTCTTTTCTTATTAGTTTCTTGCATTGTGATACTTCTTTCTTTCTTTTTTTTTTCGCCCTTTCTATCAAGGTGCCTCACTACTGAAGGTTATGAACATGGTACAGCAGCTGATGTTATGGTCTTGGGGGTCATTCTGTTTTTTGTTCTTATGGCTGGATACTTACCTTTTGACGAGCCGAACCACATGGCTTTTGAAAGCATTCAAGCACTTAATTTTTTAAAGTTTTTTTTTAATTTTTTATATATGTACATCACAGTTAAATTTTTTTATTAATTTCTTTGTATATATTTTGAAAATTTAACTTTCATTTATAAATATATGATGTTATTCATCAATTATGGTTGTGATTCAAAATATAAGTATATAGTGTGTACTACATTCTTCAGAATGCGCGTACAAAAACTCACGCTGATTAGATTAATTTTAAATATGTCGATTTTTTATATTTTTTTATTATATAGGTTTTATTAGTTATTAATCACACTTAAAAGATGTGATCTAATATTTTTAATCACATTAAAATGTGTGATCTAAAGATATTGTTTTAATCACACTAAAAGATGTATTGAATAGTTATGCGCTGTGAGGTAAATATTTTAATCAGCACTCCACGGAGTGTCTATGATAGTTCATCTAGTTATCGCCTGCATGTGTAGCTGGTCTTCTGACATTCACACCACATGAGTGAACTCGCATCATCTAGTTGGTATAGCGCGACGGCGTGTTGATATACGCCACTGTGGACTTGTAAGTGGCATTTCTAATGACAACTTAAAACGTGTGGATAAAAGATTGTTAATTGTGAGGAGAGAAGATGCAGAGGAGTATTATGTACAGACATCGCACCGCTCTATGTAAGATATTCTATATATATATATCTGGATGGAGGTAGTGCATTATAAGCGTGATTAAAAAACATGGCATCACACCAAAAAAGTGTGTATCTTTATCTGTATTGTGTAGTAATGCCGGTGGAGACAAAGAAGAAGAGAGAGGACGTGCATCGGCACACAGCAGTGCTCATGTATGGCAGCGTGCTTTGCCGCCCAGATAGCCCCACTGATATATGTATGAGTTATCTCAGTCTGCTCTCTCGCACTCGCTCAGCCTCTGTTGTAAGTTGAAGAAAATATTTCAAACTCTTGTGTGGTATATACTTACTTTTGCCCCATACAGATAGTGACGCCAGAATTTCAGTGCAAATACTACTGCAGCAAGTTCCAAGATCATGGGTCGGGTAGTTCTTTTCATGCGGTCTCAGTTTTCCGGGAAAGCATAAGCAATAACTCTCCCATTCTGGGCATTAAAACACATCCAAACCCTTATGAGAAGCATCATCTAATACAGTATAACCATCCGTACCTGAAGGTAAGGTCGAACAGGTGTAGTCACTAATCGAGTTTTCAACTCTTGGAAAGCAGAATCCGCTTTGGTCACGTCCAGTCAAAAATGATATCCCTTCTGTGTCAGTTGAGTCAATGGTAAGGCAATTTTGGAGAAATCTTTGACGAATCTTCTTAATTCCGCTAATCCCAAAGCTTCGGATTTATGTTACATTTGTTGGTCTAGGCATTTACTACAGTTCAATTTTCTGTGGATCAACGGGAAATGTCCATCTTTGCTAACAACTGCCCCAAAAACATAACATGAGTCGAGGCCAGAATTTCACATTTAGACAGTTTAGCATAAAGTTTCTGTTCTACTTTAAGGTCTGTGGGCAAGTCTCAGATGATATCTGTTCTTCTGCAATCTTTTGGGAGTAAATAGTATGTCAATCAATAAAATACACTACAATAAAGTCATCAGGTACGGTTTAAAGAATTCTGTTCATTAGGTCCATAAATGCAGCACGGCGCCATTGGTAACTCCGAAAGGCATAACTAAAAATTCATAATGTCCAACCTCTTCGAAAGCAGTTTGTCTATGTCTTCTGGGTTTAACTTTCAACTGATGGTAATCCGGATCTGAGATCGATCTTAGAAAACACTTGTGCACCCTATAACTGATCAAACAGGTCGATTCAATGAGCGTGCAATGGGTATTTATTTTTCACAGTTACCTTGTTCAGTTCACGGTAGTCAATGCACAGTCTTAGTGAGCCGTCTTTCTTCTTCACAAATAAAACAGGAGCGCCCCAAGGCGAAGTGCTAGGTCTAATGAACTTCTTATCTAACAGTTCCTGCAATTGCACTTTCAATTCTTTCAGTTCAGATGGAGCCATTCGGTAAGGAGCTTTAGAAACTGGCTGTGTTCCGGGAATCACATCAACAGTAAATTCAATCTCCCTGTCAATCAAATCCCCTGGCAAATTGTCTGGAAAAATATCTGGGAATTCTCTGACTATAGGAATACAATTCACATTAGCGTTATCATCAGTAGATACAGTCAATACAGAACACAGATATCCTTTACATCCCTTTCTAATCAATTTAACAGCTTTCACAGATGAAATCAAATACGGGGGAGGTACTACTCCAACCCCATTAAATACAAATTCAGGCAAACCAGGTGGACGGAAAACTACTTGTTTCGTTACACAGTCTATGGTGGCATGATATTTCGTTAACCAGTCCATCCCCAATATAACATCAAAATGGTCAATGTTCAGTGGCAGCAAATCAATAAATAGATGTGCATCTCCAACAATAATTTCACAAGCAGGATACATATATGCACAGGTCATAGATCCCCCAACGGGTGAAGATACAGCTAACAGATAGTTCATAGGTTCTAAGGGTCTATTCAATTTTCGCGAAAAAGCATGCGACACATATGAATGCGTAGACCCCGAATCAATCAGTACATAAGCATTTTGAGTACAAATAGAGAGAATACCTGACACAACAGTCTCGGTATTCTGCACATCTCCCGGTACTAAGGCGAACACTCGGCCCTGCCTCATAGGCTCTTTTCCGGTAGCTCCAGGGTTCGGTTTTGGGGCAACAGTTGATACTGCTACACTCGGCGTAACTTTACTACTGGCTTGTGGAGCAGAGGGGCAGTCTTTAACTGTGTGGCCTATCTTGCCACACCTATAGCAAGCTCCAGATATTTTGTAACAAACTCCCTTGTGATTTTTACCACATTCAGAACAGGGCGGTATTGAACGGTTTCCTTGACTAGAAGTAGTCGTTGACCCCGTATTCTGTTTCTTATTCACTGGATTATGCTTGCCTTTCTTAAACTTGAAACCCTGTCTTTTACCCTGCCATTCAGACGATGGTGTTTCAGTTTTCAGTGCTTCGATGTTCGATTCGGCCATCAAGGCTCGGTCAAGAACATTTACATAATTCAGTAATTTCAAAACATTTATTCTGTCAAGAATCGCAACATTAAGGCCGCCTTCGAACTTTCTGGTCTTCTTATAATCAGTGTCCACCATGTGTGGTGCATAACGGGCAAGTTCAGTAAACTTTGTTTCATATTCGGCAACGGACATGGTGCCCTGTTTCAGCTATTCAAATTCAATTACTTTTCTATCCCTGACACACTGAGGGAAGTACTTTTCAAAGAAGGCTCCTTTGAACTGAGCCCAAGTCATAATAATATTGTCATCACGGACAAGCATCCACCACCTTCTAGCCTCTTCTTGAAGTGTAAAGGTAGCTAACAGTACTTTGTGTGCTTCAGAGCACGGAAACACCTCAAATAATTTTTCGGTCTCAAGAACCCATGCTTCAGCCTTTAACGGTTCAAGGCCTCCCTGAAAGGATGGCGGTTTCATTTTGCTGAACTTCTGGGTCAGAGCAATTATATCCCCACCATTTACATTCACATTCTGTTCCGGTACAGCCGGAAGAGGAGGTAAGGGCTGTTGATTCCGTTGTTGGTCTAACCTTTCAGTTATCAGTTCCATCATTCGTTCCAGTCTGGCCATTCTGGCCTCAGAGGATGAGGATTCAGTTTCATTTGCAGTTCTTGCATTATCCATCTCACTATAAGCAGTTATAACAGTTATCAACATAGGCATTCATTTGTTTAAACAGATTAACATGTTCAGTAAGTCACTTTAGCAGATACTCAATCAGTCATATCACACACTTATCATGCTCATGAAATGCCCTAATCACTTTTCTAGGACATCCTATAGCTCATTTGGACACGTGTGAGCGGTACAACTCGTGGTAAGTATCGCTCTGATACCACTCTGTCACGACCCAAACCCGGCCCTATGGGTTTAGCAAGACCTAAGAATGCCTAGGATAGAATGAGGATGCAAAGATGTAATCAGAAAATAGTTTCAGGATTTTCAGAAAAACAGAGTCCCGCTCGAGCTCAGGTTTCCCTGCTCGAGCGGACATGCAACAAAGGTACACGCTCGAGCGGCAAATCCCGGCCAGTAATCCGAGATTACCGAAGGCCTGCTTAACAGTAATACAGTAAAACAGAGTACAGGGCCTGGCGGAAGCCAATACAGTACATAAACAGTGCCCAATGAGCTGTTATAGTCTGTATGCAAAAAGACTTTTTATATATATAAGCAGTCAGTAACAAAACAGTATGTACAATATTTACAATCATTCAGAATAGGGACTCAATCCCTATTGACAGTACAGTACAGTACGTTCTATTCAGTTCTCAAAACAGTACAGAAGCGGAGATAAAAAGACCCCTAAGCCAAAGCATGGCAGGTTCGGAACCTCGCGGTGAGGCACATAGGTTGGCTTGACAAAACTGGAGTCTATCTCGACGCTTCTAGCCGCGGTCTGGTGCCTGTACACCTACATATATATATATAAGCAGTGAGCTAAAGCCCAGTGAATAACACAATG